ACGATGTACCGGATGTGCATGTAATATATTTGAACAATCTTCTCTCGTACATACAGCAATGAAGCGCGTCAATGACTGGGCAAGTACAACTCAGACCCAACTTGCAGACATATACCTTGCCAATGATTTTTGAGAAGACAAAGGCAGTGGACTTATATACTGTGACTCGCAGAGTGCACTCCTGGCATTGAACGCAGAGTAGTAACTCCCAGAAAATAGTCAGTGATATTCGAATGAATGTTTTAGCTGCTAAAGAAAACAGAATTGAATTTAAATTCCTATGGATACCATCACATGTTGGCATATCAAGGCATGACACAGTTGATATGCTTGCTAAGACAGCCTGCAGAAAACCAGTGGTAGAAAATGATATGGGTGTTTCATTAGCAGTGGCAAAGAGAATACTTAAGCAAATATCTAATGAAAATATTACTGACCTGAGAAACTAGTGAGAGTGAATGAGGGCGGTGGTGGGGGTGAGGAGGGAGGGGCGAGACAGGCCAGGAGAGGAGGGCTGCCTGAAGGACATGTGTGGGGGGGGGGCGGAAGGGAAGATGGGATCTGTTGACGATTAACAATTCTTCTTCTCAGCCTGGCCTTATGATTTGATTGTTGCCGTCGGAGGCGGCTTTTATATTGTGCACCCCATACTCAGCCTCCTGGTTGCTGGACTGATCAACCAGGCTGTTGGACGCGGCTGCTCACAGGCTGACGTATGAGTCACAGCCTGGTTGATCAGGTATCCTTTGGAGGTGTTTATCCAGTTCTCTCTTGAACACTGTGAGGGGTCGGCCAGTTATGCCCCTTATGTGTAGTGGAAGCGTGTTGAACAGTCTCGGACCTCTGATGTTGATAGTTCTCTCTCAGAGTACCTGTTGCACCTCTGCTCTTCAACGGGGGTATTCTGCACATCCTGCCATGCCTTCTGGTCTCATGTGATGTTATTTCTGTGTGCAGGTTTGGGACCAGCCCCTCTAATATTTTCCACGTGTAAATTATTATGTACCTCTCCCGCCTGCGCTCAAGGGAGTACAGATTTAGGCTCTTTAGTCGGTCCCAATAGTTTAGATGTTTTACTGAGTGGATTCTAGCAGTAAAGGATCTCTGCACGCTCTCCAGGTCAGCAATTTCTCCAGCTTTGAAAGAGCTGGATGAGTAATGTAACGTGGCAGCAAGAGCAGGACGCCGGCTGTGTTCACTACAACGTCTCTTAACACCAACGGAGGACATCACTGTTGTCCTTACCAAAAATATAATAATAATAATACGCTCTGGCAGAGCGAAGCGCATCTACCACTTCATTGTGGGCGTGTGTAATGGGAGCCATGTGTCTTAAGGGAGTCTCCTGGGTGGAGTAAAAACCAGGCTGGCGGGGTATGTGGCCGGGTGACCCGGGGAGAGGGAGAGGGGCGCCTCACACGGGGTCATCTGTAGCTGTGACCTCACTCATGACGTCACTGTCGCCTTCCGTACACTCCCCTCAGACAACTGTCGTGGCGTGACTCTCGTGTCTCTCCTCCCGCCCCTCCGCGTCTCGCCCGCGTCTCTCACTACTCCTCCTCAGAGGCGGGACACTCAGAGCTTCACCTCACGCCCAGTAGTCAGTCAGCACCTTACAGCTTCCCTCGCTTTTTCCTATTGCCTCAGCTGCCCTCTTGCAGCGTTCCCCCTCACCCGGCCGCTGCCGCCCTCACCCTGGCCCCGGGACCTCCCGCTAACACTCAGCATCACAACCGCCACCGTATTGTTAATTACGTTTTAAATGCTAGACCAACTTGTAGGGATGAAGATCATTAAACTGGAGACCAGTTCCCCTCACTCTCCTCACAAATAACATTGCGAGGAGAAATAACATGTCGCAAATTGTTATATAGTCATAGCGGCTTAGCGCTTTCTTCTCATAATTACCTCGTCTGCCTGTTCAATTAAATTGAAGCATATTTGCAGGACTGGAATAGTCAGCACCGGCCTGGAGCCCACACACCTCGTGACGCACACAATTCCAAATTTAAAACATGTAGATGTTAGATACAAGATTACCACCAGCGCTAGACAGGTTAGGCTACCAGGATACGTTAGCTTAGGTTAAATGTAAGAAGATGCAGAGAAGATATGATCACAACATACACAATACTGGGAGGAGTATGATCACAACATACATAATATAAGGTGGACACGGACATTATCTTTACATTGAAAAAAGGTTACATTGAAGACATAGCTGAACATGCAAAGGAGTCGAAGAAATGTTAGGTCATACCGGTGCCCTCCACGAGTGGTCATCTCTAGTGGAATGCTCTATAACTCGTGAAAGCCGCCACTATTCACAACTTTAAAGCCAGATTCAATACAGAACTCGAAAGTCAGGAAAGTTAAATGATAACGCATGAGGAGCAGCGAGGCCAGACCTTGCTTCCCCGGAGTCACTCTTAGTGAAGCACTGTTAACTGTGAACACATGGGACACCTGGCCACGACCACCACGCTAAGAGTGTAGTCCTTGAGTGTGTTGGGTGGCCACCATCCACACCTGGGGTGGCCACCATCCACACCTGGGGTGGCCACCATCCACACCTGGGGTGGCCACCATCCACACCTGGGGTGGCCACCATCCACACCTGGGGTGGCCACCATCCACACCTGGGGTGGCCACCATCCACACCTGGCAGGGTGGCCACCATCCACACCTGGGGTGGCCACCATCCACACCTGGGGTGGCCACCATCCACACCTGGGGTGGCCACCATCCACACCTGGGGTGGCCACCATCCACACCTTGGGTGACCACCATCCATACCTTGGGTGGCCACCATCCACACCTGGGGTGGCCACCATCCATACCTTGGGTGGCCACCATCCACACCTGGGGTGGCCACCATCCATACCTTGGGTGGCCACCATCCACACCTTAGAGGTTTCATCTCTAAACTTCTGTTGAATTTTTGGAGGAGTAGAGCCATGAGGCCGCTGGAACACCCAGCACCTGGCCTGCTCCTCACATCTCTCGTGAACACAACAGAACATAAGAATAAAGGTAACTGCAGAAGGCCTATTGGCCCATACGAGGCAGCTCCTATTTATAACCACCCAATCCCCAAAAGCTGCAATGTAATCCACACGAATTGGACTTTTGACCAGTAATTCTATATCCCTTAGTGGTTGAATAAACACAAATTGTAATACCGGGATACAAGGGAACTAGGGGGGGGGGGCAGCCTTGGACTTGTACAAAGACCTGAAGGGTTAACGTGAAGGGTTAAATCCCAGTTAAGGGACCCACGATACAGTTGGGGAGCACTTGCCTGTAGAGGACCCTGGCTGGAGTAGCGGTGGGTGGCTGGAGGCAGGCAATAATGTGTGTGTAGTTTGGGTGAGGGAAGGTTCCGTGAAGACCATCACTCCGACCCCAGGCGTCGTCCGTAGTCTTCAAGACCATCTTATGGCTCAGCGAGGCTTTCTTAAGGGGAGAGTGTGATTGAGAGAATAAATAATCTCTTCCCGTTTCATAATTTGAACCCACTTCCCCTCCCACACTTGACCACACCCACTTCCCCTCCCACACTTGACCACACCCACTTCCCCTCCCACACTTGACCACACCCACTTCCCCTCCCACACTCCACCACACCCACTTCCCCTCCCACACTTGACCACACCCACTTCCCCTCCCACACTCCACCACACCCACTTCCCCTCCCACACTTGACCACACCCACTTCCCCTCCCACACTTGACCACACCCACTTCCCCTCCCACACTTGACCACACCCACTTCCCCTCCCACACTTGACCACACCCACTTCCCCTCCCACACTCCACCACACCCACTTCCCCTCCCACACTTGACCACACCCACTTCCCCTCCCACACTTGACCACACCCACTTCCCCTCCCACACTTGACCACACCCACTTCCCCTCCCACACTCCACCACACCCACTTCCCCTCCCACACTTGACCACACCCACTTCCCCTCCCACACTCCACCACACCCACTTCCCCTCCCACACTTGACCACACCCACTTCCCCTCCCACACTTGACCACACCCACTTCCCCTCCCACACTTGACCACACCCACTTCCCCCCCCCACACTTGACCACACCCACTTCCCCTCCCACACTTGACCACACCCACTTCCCCTCCCACACTTGACCACACCCACTTCCCCTCCCACACTCCACCACACCCACTAATTTTCCCACTCTCCTCTACTAAACAGATTACCTCTCCCATGCTTTGACTTTAAAGCCCCCCCTACCCCCCCCCCCCCGTGCACGCCATATTAACATTCAATATTTCCTCCCCCCCCCCCCCCGCCTCCTCTCATCCCTCTACACCCTTCACCCCCCCCCCACCTCCCCCACAAAAGCTAGCCCCTCCCCCGTCAATAAAAACATTAACTGAGAGACCGTAACTTGAGGTTGGAAGCGGAGGTTCGGGTGTCAGACCGGGGGAGGGCTGCCTTCAGACCGGGGGAGGGTTGCCTTCAGACCGAGGGAGGGTTGCCTACAGACCGGGGGAGGGTTGCCTACAGACCGGGGGAGGGTTGCCTACAGACCGGGGGAGGGCTGCCTACAGACCGGGGGAGGGCTGCCTACAGACCGGGGGAGGGCTGCCTACAGACCGGGGGAGGGCTGCCTACAGACCGGGGGAGGGCTGCCTACAGACCGGGGGAGGGCTGCCTACAGACCGGGGGAGGGCTGCCTACAGACCGGGGGAGGGCTGCCTACAGACCGGGGGAGGGCTGCCTACAGACCGGGGGAGGGCTGCCTACAGACCGGGGGAGGGCTGCCTACAGACCGGGGGAGGGCTGCCTACAGACCGGGGGAGGGCTGCCTACAGACCGGGGGAGGGCTGCCTACAGACCGGGGGGCGCTATGGAACGCCGTTGGGGGAAAAAATTGTAACGTGGTTGGTGAGGGTTGAGAGTGATGACGTCACTGGGGGGGTCGTGGGGATCGCGGGGGTCAGGAGGAGGCGGGTCGAGCATGGAGAAGGGTTTAGTGTAGTCTGAGTCGTGGTGAGGGTGAGAGGTGGCTTGGCAGGGATGCGGCCAAGCGTCTTCACTTGTTACACTATGAG